ATTCTGATTGAATCGTGAAGGTTTTGGAAATTCTTTCTTCATTTATCGAAGTAAGAATCTTTAAGCGAATATCTTATCGATGTAAGATGTTCACTCTTCCAAAGATCAAGTCAGAGCTTAGATCTTTTGGAATCGCCAAAAGCTTCTTGAAAGTATTTACGAAGAATGAAGACTCTCTCTCTCTCTCTTCCTCAAAATCACTAAAAGCTCAAGCCTTTTCTGCTCCAATCTGCTCTCTGTCCTTTGTTTCGTGTATAGGGAGGTATTTATAGGGGTAGGAGTGCACAACAGTGGAAACGGGGATGAAATAACTGACCACCTGACATCTCTTTAGCCGCGCCAGTCCATGCTGTCGCGGCTACTGGCGCGGCAGTATGGACTACCGCGACCAAAGGAGCGGTTACCATCTGAGCTTAGATCTCTAGGAGTCACCAAGTGATGCTTATCAAAGGGTGAAAATTCTCTCTTTCTTCCTTAAAATCACCAAAAGCTCAAGTCTTTTCTGCTCCAATCTCCTCTCTGTCTTTATTTCGTGTCTAAGGAGATATTTATAGGGGTAGGAGTGCACAACAGTGGAAACGGGAATAAAATGACTAACCACCTGACATCTCTTTGGCCGCGCCAGTTCATACTGGCGCGGCTACTGGCGCGACAGTATGGACTGCTGCGGCCAAAGGAGCGGTTGCCATCACGTTTCATCGTGCTTGAAACTGTTCTCCCACGACCTTTAACCACTTTTTTCGAGGTTTAACTGCTTGTCGACGTCAGCACACGTTCTATTTCTGATATGCCGCCACGTGGACTTTAAAAATTATTGTATAACTGCTTTGTAACCGCTGCAGCACACCTTGTAATAGCCGCGCCACCATAGACTGCCGCATCTTAGGCGCGTCACCATGAACTGCCACGCCAAAGACGCGTCACCCTAGGCTGCCGCGCCTAAGGCGCGTCACCCTGAGCTGCCGCGCCTAAGGCGCGTCATCATGGGTTGCTTGTTGGTGTATTTTGTCGCTGTATACACACTGTTCTCTTCTAATCCTTGAGTTGTGTTTGGATATCTATGAGCATTTTTTGATGCCTACAGAGTTATGTAGGGGGGAACAAACCGCGTGGACTTTGTTTAGTTCAGCGGACAAAGAGGCCCACTCGAGATTGAGGCTTATAAATACACATTGGTTTCTAGGTTTTTTGTGGGTGTGCGAAGTTGAGGCAGAAGGGAGAAATAGGCAGGCGGCTATACTAGAGCAATGCAAGGAGCCGACTTTTGGGTAAAAGAGGGTTTCGTTGCTGCAGAGGGCAAAACACAGAAGAAAGTTTGGCTATTGTCCTTTGGGTTTTGGCGGATGTTCTTTGGGTATTTGGCTGCTGTCCTTTGTGTGAAGGATTTGAGAGATTGTTTGAGGGTTTAGATTGAGTGATTGTAAACCCTAGTTGTATCTTGTAGGCATCGAAAATTACCTATAGGTCTCCACGAACAGCTCAGTATTAAGGAACGAAGATGAACGTCACTATCCGGTTCACAGGATTTCGATTGATGTCGGTGAAAGCTTGAAGTGAATCGACGAACTACGTGAACTAACAGAATTTTGGAATAACAAAGATGATCCAACCATCTGAGCTGATAGAACTCCTCGTCGGCTTTCCAACGCACTTCGAACCACTCAAATCTGAGTTAGGACGAAGAATTTACAGCGGAAGCGGACAAATAGGCACAACGGTGTGTCTCGGACCAACGAGACACCCTAAGGTGTCTCGGCTAAGGCCGAGACACCCTTGGGTGTCTCGGCTCAGGTTGAGACACTCTGGGGTGTCTCCAACGTAGAAAAGGCCTGTTATACGGTTTTAACCGCCCGAAACCTCCTGGAGCCTATAAATACAGCCCCGGGTCCTCACTTTTTTCAGATCTGGAGTTTTGGAGAATTGGCGAAGCCCTGCCGGACTGAAGAGTGATCGAGTTCTTCAATGCAAGTGATTGAGAGTTGTCAGATCTGCATCACCCGTATCCAATCCTTAGTATTATCCCGTTGTGGTAATTCTAAGAAGAGCAATTATCTCGCCGTTGTCGAGATAAGCGCTTCTGCTTCTAGATTCCTTCACGAATCGACGGAGTTCTGAACCTGATCTGATTGCCAGGTAGTCCACGGATATCGACGTCCCCGTCACTGGCTAAAGACCCACGCAAGCAAGAAACGACGAACGGATCTTGTGTTATTTTCGAAAAGTTGTAATCTTTCATTTTTCTTATTCTTTTTATTGAATATCTGAATTCTTTGTAAGCAATCCAGATTATAATGAATTCAACAATGAAGGCAACTTTTACCGAAAACATATCTCTCCCTCTAATAGTAGATCTCTCCCTCCTTACCCCATGGACATAGGTAATTTACCGAACCACGTTAAATTTGTGTTCTTACCGTAATTTGTAATAGCTTGTAGGTTCCCTCGACAAGTCAGTCCTAGAACTGATGAGAGGAAGAGATGATATCTCACTTTGTTGATATATTTTGCTTTCGGTTCTTGTTTCCTTTGTGAAACAGGAATTCCGTTATGATCTTACTCTCTTGTTGTGCAGCCGAGGTGCTGCCGAAATTTCCGCTGCGCACAACAGAAGATTCACATCCACTATTTATTAACCCATCTATAAGGAAAGTTGGCTCAACTCTTGCACTAAAAAATAGAGAAGTTCTCTATCTTTTGAGAGAACGAGAAAGAGTCTGAGAGATTATCGATCTCATCTATGTGATTTGTAATTTCATTTTTGATTAGTGAACTTTATCTACCGCTACTTGTGGATATAGGATTTTCTCCAAACAACATGTATCCTTGTGTTTTTGCTTGTGATCTTTTCTGTGATTTTATTTTGATTTATTGTTTTATGATATTGATTTCAGCCACCACCGCTTTCGGAACACCATCTAGAAAAGAGGACTAGTAAATCTTTTTTTAAATAATCTCTTTATGTTAAGGATTCTCTCCTTAACCCCTCATTTATATATCTCTCTAGAACCTAATTTATTTCTCTAGTGGGAGGATCTAAGATTCACTATTCATGCTACAGTAAATGCAACAATAATTATTCTAACATTGTTATTGTAGCACAGACAGGATGATCCAAGGTTCACAATTCATACTTGATGTAGAATATACGAAAGATATGTTTATGTTGAAGTGAGATAGTCGCAAGCCTAAATGCGAGCCCGGTCGAAGAAAATAACTTGTTTTGAAGAAACTCCCGTAACTTTCAAACAGTACGTCGGAATTGGACGAATTATATATAAAAATCGACTATCTCGACGAGACGGAGCCATCCAAACCTACTCTTAAGGGTTCGGTTTGCTTCCTTCGTTTTACCAAATTCCTTACGGTTTGAGATATATCTGTATTGTTGTCTATTTTTACTATTTTTAGTAATGTTTTAGGAGTCTGTTTGGTTAGGAAACAAAGCCGATTTGATCTCAGATTTAACCAATGGACTTTCCTAGTCATAAGGAGTCTTTTTAGGATTTTTAATATTTTAGGAATTCTTTTACTATTTTTGGTAAGTTAGAGTCCTTGTAGGAGTTTGAGTCCTTGTAAAAGTCTTGTTTTTTTATTTAGGTAGAGTTTTGTAAACCATAGAGGGATAATTTTTGATTAATAAAATTTCATTTTTCTTAAAAAAGCAACTTTTCATCAATAAAATTCTCCTTTAATATTTTCTTCGTGGATTCGAAGATCATTCTTTGTGGATTCAGAGAATACCCCTTGGTGGATTCCGAAGTTATCACTTCCGTACTGCGTCAATTGGTATCAGAGCCTTGTTCTTCTAATCCGATAGCAAGTGATGAAGTCCCTATTTCTCGAACTAAGTTCGACGTGCTAAAGATTGATGTTAACCAGATAAAGACTATCATGGAGCAACTTGCGGTGGCAGTTGAGCGTCTGAACACGGTGAGAGTTCAAAATAGCGTTGATGATCGCCAACGACGTAATCCAACTCCACCGACTCTATATGATGAATCCGACAGCGAGGAAGATAACTATGCAGCCCCACGATGCGGTGTTTATCGCATAGACCATTGACAAAGGGAAAATTATAATGCTGGAGATTTCAAGATGAAGATCGATCTGCCATCTTTCAACGGCAACTTCATATCGAAGAATTCCTCGACTGGATTGCAAAAGTAGAGAGATTGTTTGAGTATATGGAGATCCTAGACAAGCGTAAGGTAAAATTGGTGGCCTGCCGACTCAAAGGTGGAGCTTCAGCTTGGTGGGAATCTGTTTGTCTGAATCGATCTCGTCAAGGAAAGCCAAAGGTCGAAAGGTGGGAAAAGATGAAGAAACTACCGAGGGCTCGTTTCTTGCCAAGTGATTATGAATAAGTTTTATTTGAACAATACCAGAATTGTAAGCAATGTGGAAGATTATCCTTGGTGGATTCTGAGACTACAACTTCCGTGCTACTTCAATGCTACAATGAAATAATATAGCACGCGCGGGAACTGTAGCGTTTAAAAATTACTGTAGTGCTATTACTGTACACGGGATATTGTAGCATTTAAAAATGTTACTATAACACATACAAAAGTTGTATTTGAATGTAAAATTACTGTAGTGAGAATAAAAAAATAGAGGTCGTGCTTTGCACGGGGTGCACACTAGTATATATTTATTTGGAAATTGTTATACCCTTGTGCTTTGTGATATCTCCATCCTCTCTCTCTCTCACCAGACATACAATTTCTTTTACTAGTATTGCTTGATATATGCCTACACCTTGTCATTTTCTAACCCATATCATATTAGTAATGATCCTATTTATACTCTTAACCCTGATCCTATTTATACTCTTAACCCTAATCCTAGCTTCAACCCTAATAAGCCACTGCTTTTAGTCTGATAACTCTGGCATCACCTTTTCCATCCCACTTTGCCATAAAGCAAAAGCCAAAAATAAAGCAAGGAGAAAAAAATAAAAAAAGGAGGGGGGTTTTTCCCCCTTTTTTGTGAGAGAGAGTGAGTATGAGAGAGAGAGAGAGAGAGAGAGAGAGAGAGAGAGAGAGAGATCAAATGAATAGAGGAGTTTTTGAGAGCTCTATGATGGGGGGAAACCCTGGTAGCTTATTGTTGAGCTTGGATAATATTATGAGGCCAACTCATCATCCTCAAGAGACCTATTCTCTTCTTCCTTCATCATCATCATCATCCACAGCTTCATCATCATCTTCTTCTTCACTCTTGCCACAATTCTTGCAGTCATCAAATATTCAGACTATGGCCCCTAATTGGCATGACAACCAAGAGCTTCCTGAGTCATGGAGTCAACTAGTGATGTAAATCTCTATCTCTGTGTCACTGTGTGTGTTTATGTGTTTGTGCATGTGTGCACATATTTTCGCGTGTTCAGAAGTTTTTCGATGCATATTTTTCAAGACATAGTTTCTATAAGCTTTCATTTTCATTCACTATCCTAAAAGACATGAAGTCTCTCCCTCTTATCACTTTTATTAATTATGCTAATCATTATATGTTTAATTTCATAAGGAATACTAATAAGAGGGGCACCGAATTGTTCTTGAGAATATAAGCTAAAGAAAATGGATGGAAGACCTGTACCTTCTTTTTTGTAATGATATATATCTACAAAATAAAATTAGTACTTCTAATTTATCATGAAATTGTTCAAATATTTTTATTAATTATATATGGTCAACTCACTTTTAATCTCACAATTTCATAATCTATTATCATATCTACTAACATGCTGTATACGTGATGTCTAAAAGTTTTTTTTAATGGTTATTTGAGTACCAAGTTAATTTTATTTTTAACTTCACCAGGGGAGGCTTGGTAGAGGAAGAGAATAGGTGTAGTCTCACTCCTTTCCAAACTAAGAAGATGGAGAATTGGCAAGATCCATTGATGTATTCATCAGCAAATGCTCGTGGTGTTCTCGATACCAAGCAAGAATTAGTATCTAATAAGGGATATATCTATGGCCAAGCTAATGAAGAAATCCAAGTACCTAGGTCTTCTTGGAGTCAAATCCTACCAAATTCCTCTCCTAAGTCTTGTGTTACTACGAGCTTCAACAGTAGCATGTTGGACTTCTCCAATAGCAAGGTGGAAACTAGGAATCACCACCTTGATCATTCATCTCAAGAGGTGAGAATAATATTTCCTTTTTTTCCCCCTATTATGTTAATTAATGTTTGAAAAAGATGCCCAAGTGATATTAACATTAGTTATAGTGCTAAACGTAGATGTTTCTTTATTACCACTTTTGTGACTCAAGGATGGTTGGTACAGTTGTTTATCGATCAACTTCACTCTTAACTGAAGTTTATTAATTAATGTCCACCAATACCTTGGTTCTATTTCTTAGGTCAAAAACTTTTAACTGAGTTATGTTCTACTATGCTGTATACATGTGTAATCTTAATGAATACCCTTGATTTCATGTATGTTACATGATTGTTTTCTCAAAGACCTTAAATAACCAGGGTTCCTGATTTTTGTTTTTCTCCTTTGCACTCAAGTGCAACAGTACACCAACAGGTTCCCCCTACAAGAAGGCTAGGGTTCAAGCCCCCTCAGCTCAATCAACTTTCAAGGTAACATATAGCCTTTTCTTTTGCTCTTTTTTCCTAATTAGTTCCTTATTCTATATGACCATGCATATTATCTACCTTAATCACAGATTAATTCATCAAAATAAATTTTACTTTATGATCCAGGTGAGGAAGGAGAAATTAGGAGATAGGATCACAGCACTTCATCAGCTAGTTTCTCCATTTGGAAAGGTATTAATATTTTTGAACCAATCTTTTATCATAGTTTGTAGTATATTATTTTTTCCATGCCATTCCTTTTGATAATTCTACTTTAATATGGGTTTGTGTTGCTTCTTTTGCAGACTGACACAGCCTCTGTACTGTTAGAATCCATTGGCTACATCAGATTCCTTCAGAGTCAAATTGAGGTGTAAGCTCTATTTCACTTTCTCTGTATTTTTCACTGTAATATTAATTAGTACTTTTGAGATTATCTGAGACAGAGAGAGTGCACGCAGTAAAAGCTGACGTGAGCAGTGTTTATTGTTGTTTTTTGTAGCATATTCTAGCTTTTGGTGCCTTGTATTGTAGTCATGTGATTAGGTGATTATTCTCTGATTCAATTCTTTCCCCTATTCAGTACTTACTTCACTACCACCTGGTTTCATGTAGGCTCTGAGCTCACCGTACTTAGCCTCCGGATCAGCTGGCAACATGAATGCTTCAGTGAGTCTCTCTCTCTCTCTCTCTCTCTCTCTCTCTCT